CATTGGTTTTCTTTAATCATTTGAACACACTGGCTACCTCTCTCCTTTCTGCTGAGCCTGCCTCCTCTCACACTCTCTGCCTGAACTCTTCCTCTCTCTTTCTCCCCATCTCTCTCTTTTTCCTCCTATCTCAAGCCATTTGTCAAGGCATTGATTTGAACAGATGGCCTGAGAACAGTGCCAATTTCCCCCCTCTTTAGTTTTACCTCAACCCTAAAAGTTTGTCTCTAGCTTTGGGACCAGGACCCCAGGGAGCAGCTGTGCTTCTTGGGCATCATACAGTTGTCCTCTGCAAGGGGAAAGGTTGTTTGCTCGGGAGGCAGAGCGGTGGCACAAGCTCCCTCAGGAGCTAAGACCCTGCATCCTCAGCACCTTCTGCTCCTCATGCAAGGTGTGCTGCTCTGCCACCCCTCCACTCCCCACACATACGTAGCACAATGGGCGATGTATTAAATGACTTAAACACTTGGAATAAATAGACCCATGGTTTGGCCTTGTGAAGGGAAACCCAAATGGCAGTGCCTTCTGGAAGGGGCTGAGACACTGCAGCGAGGAAGTGCATATAAGAACCTGATTAGAGCAGGCTGACAGTAGGAACATCTCTGTAGATGGAGGAGGGCATGGCCTCTATTGCCCTGTCAGCTTTGGCTGCTTGGCCTTTTAGCCTCTCCTTTCCCATCTGATGGTCAGTTAGGGCTGGTGCTGTTGTGGTCCGTTCCCTAAGATTTTGGAAATGCAGTGCTTAGAAGGGAACACTGTGATGACTCGGAAAGCCAGGGGTGTAAGAATGAGTGAAGCGCTGCTATTTCCTCTGCTACTGCTGTGGGCACTGTAGTGTCCAAGCACCCCCCTTTCCAGACACAGAAGCATGGTACTCAGAGGACAGCAGTAGGAGAAGAGGGAATGCTCTACTTCAGTGGTTCCCAACCTTTTTAGACCACGGACCGGCAAACCATGGACCAGAAGTGACCGCAGACCGGCAAACTGTGGACCAGCATACTGAGTGACCAGCATACTGCAGACAGGCAGCGAACCCTTTTTTATACTCAGTATAAAAAAGGGTTGGCTGCCAGTCTGCAGTATGCCGGTCACTTCTGGACTGCTGGTCCAGCAGCCAAGCCATCATGGCTTGGTACCGGGCTCTGGCCCGGGGGTTGGGAACCTCTTCTCCACAGGAGTAACGGGGTTACCTCAGAGACCCGCTCCTCTCTGTGCCAATGGCTTCTCGGGACCTGTGTTCCTTTGGGAAATGACACTGTCAGCCAAGAGATGGGGGCTCATTGGCGCAGGTGATGGAGCTTCCTGGGGGTTGTACTATGGCTACAGGACTTGGTGAGAGGGTCCAGCCCATCAGCAGGACTTAGCTTCCCTTCAGTGAGGTCTTCTTGTACCCACGCCGCCCTTCTCATGCATTTGCACAAATGCCAATCCAGCTCCTTCTCCTATGAGTTGAAAAGGAAGCAGAAGAGACAGATTGCTGTTGTTTCTATTTTTAACCACCTGGGAGTTGCTGAGATGCTGTAGTGATGGGAGCCATGCTGGTACCAAGTCAGTCTCGCTTGGAGGTATTTTGTGCCTGTGTGTTGTAGGCACTTTCCTTTCATGGACTCTGCTGAATCCTACAGTTCATCCAACTTTCTCCCAGGTGAAGGTCAAACTGTCCCTGCTGCTCACCAAGCTTAGGCCGCCCTTTTTATACTCCATTTACCTTCCACCCAGCAGCCTGCACCCAGGTTTCCTTTTCCAGAGTCGGCCAGCTTAGCTGAGTTCTCCAGCCACTTTTGCAACAGAGATACAACAATGTAACCATTAGTAAATTCTAGGCCTGTTGATGGAGAAGACAAGGATTTTGATGAGGGGTCTGTCATCTTGTGGATGCTCCTTGGGTGAGAGTGGCTCTACAGCGGCTACCCCTGGGTCTAGGGAGTGGCAGAACGCCGCTCGTTTGGTTCTTTGTAGTTGATGCTCTGGCTGCAGCATTTAATAGAGCTCTTGCTTTATCTAACAAAGACACGGAGCTTGGAAACAACCAGCTGGAGCAGGCTAGACTGTGGTTGAGATAGTCCTTTGTGGTAGTGATGCTCCCTCTCTCTTGGAAGCCCTTTGTCCATGGCCACAATTCCCCTGGCTGAGGAGGGCTAGGTTGGACAGGCTTCCCCAGAAGGAGTGCTGTGAGGCAGCTTTGCTGAGCAGATCCTCAGGAGGGTGAGGAGCTCTAGAAAGACAGTTTGGGAGGCAGGGCACTAGCCTGGGATGCAGGAGACCCGGATTAAGTTCTCTGCTCCTCTAGAGATTCAGAGGAACCTTGGGCAAGTCACACACTCTTTTTGTGTCTCAATTTCCCATCTGTAAAACAGATAACTCCATTTTCCTGCCTTCAGGGAGTGTGGAGAGGTAACCATATTAGAGATTTGGAGCTACTCACACACTCCAGGGACTGGGGCCATGGAAGTCTCCAAGATAGGAGGCAGTCAACAGTTTGTTTTGTCTGGTTCTTTCAAACTTGACTCCCTGGTCAGTACCTTAACCTCTCTCTTTTTCTTACACACGAGTTGAGAGTTCATTACTGACCAGCTGAGGGGAAACCTCCACCAAGGAGAGGCAGGCTGGGCTTCTGGCTGGTGTGGCAGGATGCCTGAGGTCCTTCCTTAACCCTGCCGCTGACGCTGGGTACGCTCCTTGAGCCAACCCCAGCTGCTCTGTGCCTTGGTTCCTTCTCTTGTAAACTGAGGGATATTATTGCTTGTCTTGGACTTATTTAAAGCAGTGCTCGATTTTTTGAGAGCTTGAGTTTGCACCAAGAGTTTTTGCTTGTCACCTGCAAAGAGTGAATGTTTTTCTCTTTCCATTTTAGTCAAATTAGAGGGCTTTTTTCTGGCGCCCCACAGTTTCCTATGGGATCGATGTGTGTGTATATGATGTGCTGACATTTTGGGGGCCAAATTCTGGGTGGTATAGTAAGGCTCTGAGCCAAATTCATTGAGAACTTAATCAGTGATGCTACTTATCTGTCAGAGGGAAGTTGACTGTAAAACTGAAGTATATGACATTGTCTAGCAGGCTACAAGGATCTGTCTGGAAGGCCCAGGCACTAGCTGGGAGGGGACAGGGGATTCTTTACCTACTTTGAACAGCAGGGAAATGGGATGGGCTAGAGAGGAAGATAGGAAGGATCCAGAGTATGGGCTGAGCAGTGTTGGTAAGGAACTGTAGGAACAGCCAAGCTGAGAGAAGTTTGTAGCTGAACAGTGCTATATTAAAAAAAAATAGTGACTATGTGCTCCATGCCTGAGTAGCTCACCCATATCTGCCACATTCCCACTTTGGTTTGTGGTAGCCAGAGGGTGGGGGAAGGTACAAAATAAATTATCAGAGTAGCAAAAGCAACTAAGAAGAATCTCTGCCATGCTGTTTAACTGGTTCTGCCTTCCCCCCCACAGTGGGTCCAGATTCCTCTTTGATGTGGGCACAAATGCCATAATTGGCTTCATGGTGAGTTGCACCCACTTATACTGAGCTGAATTTGGTCCCCATAGAAACCAGATCAGTACAAGTCATGTTCACTGTGCACCCATACCAAGTGCCAGCTTGGTACAATGACATTACTTTGCCGCTCACACCCCTGTGTTGGCCATCTTCCATCCATAGAGGAACAGGTCCCACCCTCCGTCTGGATTCTGCCTGTGTAGGAAGTTTTGAAAATACATTAGCCCAAATCCTGCAGGTCAATTGAATACACCAGTCAGTGAGTGCAGTAAAGCAGGCCAATTAAGTGATAGCTTGTAGATTAGATGGAATTGCTAGCTCAGGACTGTGGCCTCAGAAACTTCAAGAGCTTGTTTAATATGCAGCCAGCAGATTCCTAATATGGCAGTGCCCACATATGTTAGAGGAGCCACTGAATGGTTCATGATGTGCAGATAGGAGCAAGGAGCCTTTGAAGTGGCTATCAATCTCTTGTTGCTGTTTCATAGCCAGCATTGCAAGATGTTTGGTGATGACTGATTCGGCCCCATTTGGCTTTTCTGGGTAGATGAATAGCCAATGATCTCACAAAGGGAGGGCTATCACAAAGGGAAAGGAGGAGTGTTCTTTTTAGTTTAAAGATAGTGAAACTGAGGCACAGAGTAGCTCATGACTTGTTCATGGTTACACAGAGGCAGTAGAATAGAATAGTTTGTGGCAGTAGAATAGAATTGAGTCTTATATCCAAAGCCCCTGGCTTTATGGAACTGGTAAAGCTAAATGCCATTTTGTGACTTAGAAGAGAAAGATGATCTGAATAGGCCTAGGATCTGTGAGCTCCAAGCTCTGGTTTTGGCTGACACTGGGTAGCAGAGATCGATGGTTATAGGTGAGTTCCTTTACCTCTTAGCCCATTTGCTCCCATCAATGAAATGGGGATCATGCTTTCCCATCACAGAGTGGTGAGGATTCATTGATCTATATTTATGAAGTGCTGTTTCTGCCAGTGTGGTGGGGGACCTGGCTCACAAATGAACCACCTTGGGGAGGACATAGAAGAATCTTCTACTTGGCCCAGTTCCACGGGGACTCATTTTCAAGGTGCCGTGCCTTTGCCCAAGTAAGGACTGCACCAGCTTCTCATTTACATCTATCTTTACATTAAATAATGGATATTCCCCTAGCATTTGCTGAGTGTTTTTCTTTCTGGATTCATTGAATTAATATTGTTTATGGATCGGCGTAATGAACAAAAAAGTGAACTGATTGGCTTTCCCTTGCCCAAGCTTATAAGGGGGCAGGTTGGCAGTCTGCGATGCTATTTGGTTTCTGT